GAGTACTACACAGTCTTTTCAACAATTATAAGACCACACTTTTTGGCTAGAACTTTGAAAAGTTTTTGCACCGGAGATTAACGGGTGATAACTTTTAGTGTGAATAAGGCTGTATCACATCGTAGTTTAACTCACTGTCAGGTAGAAAGAATGGTCAGGCAATGACTGTCCCATAGCTACAAGGTCACCCACATCGTGGTAACAGTACTTGTATCTGGAAGAGTATATAACCTGCATTGACGTTCGGAATTTCGGCGTAACATTTATTCATGTTAGTACTCAAACCTACAAGCTCCATCCCAATTCAACTCGTTGTATGCCTCCTTGCGTTGGGAATTCGATGGGGAAATCCAGCTGTCGCAATATAGACGCCAGAATAACAATCTCATTAGATTCTCAATTGGGTTAAGTTCGGGCTAGGCTTCTATTTCATTCTTTGTCGCTACCTAGTCACAGTACTGTCATCTGAACAGTACATGCATTACGGTCGTCGTGTTGAAATAGCGCACGCCCCACGACGCCAACAACTAAGTAGAAAGTTCCGGAATGTGCTGCTGAACTGACATGAACCGAACTAGTATTCAGTAATAACACGAACCGTATGCTTACTCAACAGTTTTCCCTACACCAAGACACGACAGATAAATAAAACACAACCGATCATGACAAAATGTATTGAAACATGTAAATCATTCTCGCTTAAAAACTGCTTGTATTTTTAACATCTTGTTCATAACATCTCGTTTATAACATCCTGTTCTGCCCAACACGTCCCAATAAGAATGAACTAGATGAGTCGAATAACTTCTAGCAGACATGGACCCACCAGATTCTAAAGAAACAATGTGTCCGCAGCCAGTGCCGAGACGACGTCAAGAGCGTGCTGCTGCATACCACCAGCATGCAGCCGGTGTGTGCGAACGTGCTTCTTAGTGAGATTGGCGGAATATTTTTGGAAATGTGGGCATTCCCAACGAGAATTCGGTGGCATCCCTCGAAGAACACAGATTTCAACTTATTACGCAAACCAAGAGTTCCACAGCCCTCCATTCACGTGTTTGCAGCAGGTACCAGACTCTTCACACAAATTATGCCAGCAGCAGTTCCAGCCGTTCGGACAATCCCGTTTAAAATTCTTCCCATTAGAGAGAACCGAAATATAACAGCGGTTTGTTCACGGGGGCTGAATTTCAGTCCAGCGCATTTGATGTATCTTGCGCAATCCGTCGACGGCGGAATTTACAGAGGCCTCCAGTGGAGAAATAACGGTAACCTCGTTATAACCAATCGACTTTTAGCTTCGAAAACTCAAGCGCCAAAACCGGCTTAATGGCGCATACAATAATGTTGCTCTTCTTAAGTCACGTCGTATGGGACCAGGCTTTTGCAACGGTTTCTGAATCTAAAGGGTGTCTGCTGATAATATATTCCGGAACGTTCCCCTCCTCCCTCGCCATGAGTGCAAATTCACTGTCACGTGTTTCGGAGTATTAAACAGCATAGACTACTGTTCATTCCAAAGGCGTAGACTTCTTTACCCCTCAAAAAGATAATAACTATATTTTCCTCTATAACTATCCATCAGAACGTAAGATGATCCGAAAAATGGGTCAAACCCTGCCCGGCCCTGGCCACACCCTGGTAATAAGTAGCGTGGATGATGGAAGCACTATGCGAACTTCTTCGTGTAAGTTACTATAGATCGGCCGTCGATTGAAGCGATATCCGCCTTGTGGCGCACATTTTAGGGGGGTGCAGTGACGGTGACTTGGGTTGCATAACTGCATTTTCTCCTCCCTGTCCACCTGAGCCCAGTGTCATGACAAAATCTGAAAGACAGGAGGCGGGGTCGGACGCAGGTGGCTGGCGCGGTGTAAGCCCGCACCGATGCGTGCCACAACATCCCGTGTGTGGCATTTGCTGTGGATAAGCATCCCTGATAACGCTTGACGTGCCCTCATCTGGCCACCGTGTTGGTTCAGGACACCTACCACGTGATCCGTTTTTGGGACACTCGTCCCAATTAGTGAACGTATCGCAGGTTCTAACGGCATACGCATACGAATTGTTCTTTTGGCTACTTTTACACCATCGAAATGCAACCATTTTGAAGGCACAATACCTTAATCATAACGGCATACGCAAACGCTTACTCATTTCTGGCAGGCCATTCCCGCTAACCTCTTTTTTGCTGCGTATCATAAAAGATCAGGATGCAGAGCCTGCCTTTTGAGTACACTGGGCAGCGAAATGTTGACCATCTGGGACCGATCAGTTATCATGTTGCTGGGCAACTTAAAGTTAGATCGAACGTATGCGCTGAAGTTTCCTGTGATATTGACTGATAATGACTGCATCAGCGAAGTGAATTGCGAGGCTCTCATGTTCGCGGATGACATGAAAATATGGGGTGAAGTCAAATGCGATGATGACGCAGAGGAGTTGCAGTCGAACATCAACAAACTGTGTGCTTGGTCGAACAGATGGCTTTTGAAGTTCAACGTGTCCAAATGCGTGGTTTTGCACCTGAACACCGGCCGCAATGCCTCTCCCAAACACCAGTACTATATTGACGGGACGAGGTTAGAAACTGTGGAAAGACACAGAGATCTGGGTGTATGGACGACCACAAATCTATCGCCATCAGAACACTGCAGAAAGATGGTCCAGAAGGCAACTAGTACTCTACACTGGATCAGACGTGCATTTAAAATATTTCCTCCTGAACTCTTCGAAAGACTCTTTGGTGTCTTTGTAAGACCCCATCTAGAGTATGGAATGCCAGCAGCTTCACCATGGATGAGGAAGGATATCAACTTACTCGAACAGGTGCAACGCAGAGCGACAAAGATGGTCGACGGTCTAAAGCATTTGTCTTATCAGGAGAGGCTAAATTTGCTTGGCCTATTCCCTCTCTCTTATAGACAAATAAACTGCAGTCTACTCTGGACGTTCCGGATTGTTCGCGGCCAGGGTTGCTCATTAAGGGCAGAGGACTTCTTTGAGTTCGCCCGTACAAACCAACTACGCGGTCATGCATTCAAAGTCGGGAATGAGCGAACACGTTTAGACCGACGAAAATTTTCTTTCAGCCAGCGGGTTGTCAGGCCGTGGAACTCGCTTCCAAGCGAGATGGTGACGGCTGACACAGTTTGTGTGTTTAAAAGAAAACTTGCTCGTCTAGTTTTCGACAGAAATCGGCTTGTACAGCATGACTATGCACAGCCAGTTTTGTAAAATCTGTCAGATACAATCTTCCGCACTAATTTACAGTGACCCCATGCACTACCTTATGATTACGATTGAACTGTGACCCAATCACATTTTAAATGCCTGCAATTTTATTTTATTTTTGAGTATGAATCTGCGAAAGCACTGTACATAAATAGGGTCATCAAGGGCTCTGCCTGTAACCCTTCAATATACATATACATTTGACATGCAAAAGACCCGAAGAAAAGCTAAACAGACTGTAGACGAGATGTTTACTTTCCTTTATTCCCTCATTATGAACTACAGCGTGCGCACCACATGGTACCTCGCATTGTCCGTGCCTAGTTTATATAGTTAGGAAATTTGTGGTGACGCGTTAATTGAAAGGAAATGTTATCGTGTGGGCAATTGCCTGCCTGTCCACAAGAAATCCTTAAACGTGTCTGAGTGTTACATTGTTTAAACTGCTCGGGCGGGGTATGAATAACGGGTTTCCCTGCCGGCAGCCTAAGAATCACATGCCTACCGAAAATGCAGCGTAAACTAAATGCATGCCTATCCGTAAAACATTCCTCCAAGTTTTCACTATCTTCTTCCGATGTATCTATCTTCCGAGAAGGAGACGCTGAAAAGTGCCTTTATACTTACCGGTGTAACGTGTTTGTGTAATTTCGATTTGAATAGCGATAACGTGGGCGATGTCGCAATTTCTGGCGGAAGATTATTCCAAAGGAATGTATATTTGGAGGCAAAAAAGAGAGGGTTGAGATTAAGCGCAAAGAGGCGGTGGAATCACCATGGAGGATCTGTGCTTGACGTAAGACCGATCTCTCGGAGTAAGAATGTAAATGAGCGGAAGATTGGAACCAGAGTTAATGCGAAAAAGGAAACAAAGGTCAGCTTTGAGTCTACTAGTCCTTAAAAACTTAATGTTTGCCTGCTGACATCTCTGAGCATAAGAAGTGCCGGATGCGACTTGAGCGAACAGTTTTCGGGTGAAAACCCTCTGAACATTTTCGATTTTATTATGATTACAGGCGTTCATTACACCAAAAAAGGACGGCACTGCTCGAGGGCAGGAATAACAGACATTTCATGAAGTAATGGCTTCATTTCCGGAAGTAAGAAATCATGCGATATTGCTCAGTACATCTCAAGGATAATAGGCAATGTCTTTAACAACGCTATTGAAAATGGCATGTAGAATACCAAATATTAAAGAAACATGCCACTAAATATTATCAGTTGCATATGCTTCTACGGAATATCGTATTCATGAATGCGACGATGGAACTCGAGAACACACATTTTTAGGTGTTATTGATAAACTGAGGTGACAATCATCCCCATTAGCGGTGGGTGTATGCAAGACATTGGTTTGGTGTAACAGAGCTGTTCTGTCCATTAAAGCGGCATTTTTCAAGCACACCTACATCTACTCTTTGCTTACATGTCTCCGTGGGATCCGCCATTATCGCGTTCTCAGGAAGCCGTTCCAGGCACCGATGACTCGCTGTTAAAAGGGGTACCGGCAAACGTCCAGGTAGAACCGGGATTTTCGAAGTTTCAAAGAATATCCACATGGGTTTTCGTCGTTGGAAGCTGGTTCGTGCTGCCAATCATTCAGATATAGTAGGATAATGGACTCTGTTCTAAGTGAGCAACTGATTAAATGTCTCGACGTCGATTTTGAATAGTCGACACGCCGAGGTTTGAATATTTTTATGGATAAGGCGGACCAGCCAAATTAGTGTGTTTCTGGACTTCCTTGAGTTCGTACTTTCGATATGAGTATCTACGACAGCCCACCGAACATGCCCCAATTGCGTTATTTGTATAAAAATTATGCCCTCCGTGGCGTTAAAGTTGCCGCAATTACAGCCTCACTTCTCACTGCTGTGGTCACTTCGTACGTGTACAACAAGAAAGTGGTTAGTGTCCGCAAATTTTTCGAGTAAGAACTGTGAATAATTTTGCCAATTTTGCTTAAGGTCGTACGATCCTGACCTAGAATGGGATCGGCTTCGGAAGTCTGGAATCTTAAAAACCGTTGACAAGGATGGGAACCCTAAAAACCTGTTTGATTAGTTTTGAGTGCTATGGAAGTTTTTGTCCTTGTTCTTTATGCATCTCAGGTAGACATAAATTAGCTTCTACACGAGCTCAGTCTTTTAATAAAATTTGCAGTTTGGACATATTCGTTTCCGCTTGCTCGATCTGTGTGAGCGACAATTCGGTGGCTTCTGATGGATGTGCAATCGACCGACCGGGCCATTGTAGTTCGTTTCCGTTCCGACTTTGTACGCCTGAATGCTTGAACACTGTACACATATTTTGGCATGACTGTCTGTAAGCACCTATCCATCTCATGAATATTTTATTTCAATCTGCTTGTTACATCGAGTAATCGATCGTAAAAATTAGATCGCGTTTTCCACTGTTGACGCGAGTTGTTGATCACCAAAGAGCGATGCGCCTTTCCGCGTGGAACGAACCTAAAACTATTCAGAGGATTGTAATCAGCGAGTGCTTGTCAGAGAAGGATTTGTCGACCGAGGTATAAAACGAAGCAGACGCGTGCTTGAAAGCAAACATCAAGCTTAGCACCTACATGCGACACAACAAAATTAGACAGAAGGAGCAAGCATACGTGTATTTTATGCTGTATCAAAGCCAAGACGGGTGCAGTCGAAGAGATATGTGGCACATAGACCTACTACTTCCTCCCTCACCGTGGACGTCTATGTTCGTCTGATTACCCTTGTGCTAAAATGCGTTACTGGCCGTTGCCGCTGTCCATCCGAAAGTGACTGACAAGTTCATCGCAAGTCATAGATTGCATTGACGAAGGCAAGATTCGCCGCTTTTGTTGTCAAGCGTTGCCGGTAGTTGGCGCTTCGGTAGAAGTTGGGCAAGTCTGGCAAAGCCCTGGACGGGGCTCTGAAGTGAAAACGACTCATGCGAGATACGTATACTCCCAAATTCAGTAATTGGTAAATCGAAAGTTCCGCCCACTTTGTTCCATTTATGGGCTAAATGCTTAGGCGGTCCACTGTATTATGCTTGTTGTTACGCGAATTTTCGTATGTTGGGAACGCACATCCTCTAAGGTTGAGGTGTCCGCTATTGTGCTGGCCTTGGTTTAGGATTTAGCGTTGTTAGTAGGCCCGGCGGCAAAAGTATCCAACCCTTGCAAACCGGGTCCAGGACGCGCGTGGACGGTAAAGACCATTACGACGCGGTTACTGAAATCCGAGGGGCTTGTTGGCATGATGCGCATGCTCTCGCTGTGACGGATAAGGTGTCCTACGAGCCCAGTACGCCCTAGAATTGTTAAAAGCCGAAACATGGGCGTGGGTTGGTCAGTGGCAGCGTTTTATTTGGTATACTAGTCTTAAATTCTTGCCACTTCTCAGTGGCCTGCTTCATATTTTTGGCTTGATAGATTACAGTTCCACTCCTCACGGGAGATGATGCCTACCGATCCTGCTCGCGAGTTTTTTCGGAGCCCCGACTGAGGCATTAGATTGAAACTTTTAAGGTATTTTTATACCGTTGACTTTTTTCCTCGCGTGTCAGTGCTTGTGTCAACATCGTATAACAGTTGGGTTGGTTTAAAAGGTTACGATTTCGTAGCTCCTCGGTCGGATTTGTTTCACCACTGGAAAGGCTCTGATCCCAAGACTTGCTTATCTACTATCAGTTCCTGTAGCCGCGCATTTAGAATCCGCTGGGTCATATTTAGTCCGTACGGGCCAGTTTTATCATTTAGCACTGGTCAAGGTTTCTGCATCATGGAAGAGCTTAGTCACCACCTCGACTATGTGCATGTCTAAATTGATGTTGAGCAATAAGACATGGCACTTCCGTTCTGTAGCACATAGTTTCTCAGATTCTTAATTGGCATTAGAGATTTTAGCTGCGATTTCTCCATCGACAGTAATAATGATAGTTCTCAGGGTTGTCCTATCCGAGTGCATGGTTTTGTCCAGAATAGCCAAGCGACGTCCGCTGCAAATGACCATTTGGACTACGTACTCTGCAGTCACGTTTTAGGAGTGAACCTCTGTCTAGTCACCGTCGTTGGTAGGGTTTAAATTCGGTCTCCTAGCGCCGGCACTTTAAGTGGGAGATAAGTAAGGCGGTTTTAGTACCAGTCAGTGAAGGCGCACGTGACCTCATATACAGGTGCTATCCTCACACAGTCGTCCAGCTTAGATAACTATACGCGTCCTCCTAGCTGGATTGTATTCACCTCCTGAAGGTGGGTAGTGAGAGTTCGGCAGACCTATGTTTACAGGAATATGTCGGTATGGGTTTTCGGAGGCCCGTTTCGGTGGATAAAATAATAAGTTGCACAATAGACGTATATGTACATACTGAGATTACAGATAGCATACTCAACCCCTCAAGTTCGAACCAGCGTTCTGTTGGTTAATAGCCTAACGTTCTAGCTATTACGCCAGGAGCTCGTCCTGCCGGTCTGCAATCAGGGTATATTATGGCAGGTAGCGCTCACCGATCGCGATAGCGAAGCGACTCGGCGAGCGCCATCTACGTTAGTTAATATGCCCTATCGCGAACTGAAAGGACAACGAACTCGTGACTCAGTGGTTAGAGCATTGGACTGCTAACCAACGAGACGTGAGTTGGAACCCCAAGAGTTGGGTATGACTGACTAATGACGGCCAGTAATCGGAGACGGCCGTCCCAGGCTCCTGTCTTCGTCGGTAATTTCATATCTGCAAATATAAATAGTCATTGTGTGACAGTCTGCTGTATAATCACGTCTATAGACGGGAGGACGTGTCCTGTTGCCTGTTTGCGAGTGATTCTTAGAGCTGGGACGCTATCCAGACCGGCGAGGCTGCTATCGAACAGTATAATTGATTTTTCAATTATCCGCTTCACCAGCTATAGCAGATACATGTCAAATTGAATGTTTGGTAGTTGGTGGGAAATAGCCATGACCCTCCCTTATGGATGGGTATAATAATTGCCCATTTCAATGTGGTGGAAAGTTTGCCGACTTCAAGAGATTTTCGGAAGGTGATACACAGTGGTTAGCCCGATCCTTCAGCTAGGTGGCGTAGGAGCATATCTGGCATCTTATCTGGCCCGGTGGCTCGGTCAGATCCAGATTCTTTTATTCGGCCAAAACTAGCTGTTACGTAGACAATACTGTGGATATAAGTAGGCTGGTGATAAACTGTGACAGAGACCTTGGCTGTAGTAGGATTTCCCTGACAAACACTTTGGAAGGAATCAGATAGAGGCTCGGCTTCTGGAGGGGCCATCGCTAACAATTTGGTTGTTCTTGTTCTTAAAAATTGCGACGTGGCACTTTGGGTTTTTGTGGTGCGCCCTACAGAAATTTCACTTAGTAAAATATGCGTGCCCTACAGAGGAGTCTTTTGAATAAAGTGCGTTGTCGTCTCCATTTATGGATCTTCCACAACTTACGCTTCCTTCGAATCTCAGTGGTTAGGGTGTTGGTCTTCCAACCAACAGGTGCACACCTCGGGGCTGGGTATGACTGGCTGACGATGACTAGTAAGTCAGAAATTGCCACCCTAGTTTCTCTTGTCTATGTCGGCCGTGTTATTCTGCGTGTATATTTATATATACTATACATACATAAGCTAGAGGGGCGCACGCCGATCACGTTACGGAACTCGGTCGCCCCGTTTTGCCCTGCGGGTCCCTCTCAAGTCGCGCCAGCAGCCACACAACGACGCGCGCTATAGGCAGAATAGCATTGCTGACAAGAAGGGAGGCCGGAATGGCAATTTCTGGCCTGTTGGCCGCCACCAGCCAACCGCGAGGCTCGATCCCGCGACCTGTTATTTAGAAGTCAAGCGCCCTAACCAGTGAGCCACGGGCTCGTCGTCCTGTCGGCTGCGATCGAGTATATCAACAACTGCAGAGGGGCGCGCCATAGTCAGTTCAATCGAGGGCGGACGTTGAGGTTTATTTTTCCGCCTTACCATCAGGCCTTCGTGCCTGGGAGGACGTTTTTCTGACAGACTTTTGAGTGGGACTGACTTATGTGGCCCCCTAAACAGGACATGGGAACAGTTACGTCTCGCCCAAGTAATAAAGTTTGACCTGCGCATAATTCCGGAAAGGGCAAAGTATTCCCGTGTCCCACTTCCGACAATAATCCTAATATTGAACTAGAACGTTGCTCTAAGCTTGACCATAATCCTACCCTAAGCCTTAACTCTACAGTTGAAACCGGCCCTTGCTCTAAAATTGGTCCTGACTTACCCTGTTAACTTTAAATCTAGCCTTAGACCTAATCCTTTGGTTAACCCCAATCCAAATCTTAAACTTAACCATAATTGTTACTGGAAGTTGGCTCCAGGCTGTCCGGATTGCAGGCGGTCCCCATTCGCATGTCCTGTTTCGGGGGCCATATAAGTCAGTCCCGCCGACCTTTGGAGGCCACAAGACACCAGGCTTAACTGTCAGACAGGAAATATGTATAAAGAACGTTGTCCTAAACAGCGTCTCCACACCGGGTCCGCACGTGCTCTGCATTGAAAGAGCTAATTAGTCGGATGTAGGAGGAAGTAGCATAATTAGGACTGCCTACAGTAAGGTCCTTGCAGTAACGGCCCTAACAACGACTAGGTGCAGTGACTAGTGGTAAGATTACATGGACGCTTTGCACTCCTACCGTTATCTGTTATCTCATTTCAAAAAGCAGACAGAAACGTAGTAGATGTTATATATGTGCACATGTACAAGGGACTAGGTCTGTAGCGTTTCTGATGTGTATGTATCGGGCCACTGTAGGCGTAGAAAGTCATAAAGTCCAGCCACATCGGAGATCTCGTGCAGGACTTTCCGTTTCGCCTTGTTGAGATGTCGCTCAAGCATCCAGTAGGCCTGGCGGTGGACGTTCTTGAAGAGGGTACTGGTGGAATGCTCAGTCGTTAGCTCAAGCCACTCGCGAAGCAGGCTCCCAGCTGGATGAGGAGTTCCGCCGAATTCCAGTCCCGAGTTCTCATCTCTGACCACATTGTAGAGGGGGTCGAACAATGCTGGGTTGGTTAAGAGACCGCGAGCCACCATAACACCTACAGGTAGACAGTTTCATAACAATTTAAAATATCGACTTCGAATAACAGGGGTCACTTGACGAAAGTCACCGTCGTGGATTCGAATGCCACCGAGGCAGCCAGATTTTCTACCAACGGGTCGGTCGAGTTACTCGAATTCACCAAAACACCTGGTAAATCGGTATGTCTTTACCTGGTTAAGGGGGCTGACTTCTTCAGTGCGCAAACCGAAAAGGTCATTCAGAAAACAGGTCGCAATGTGGCGCCAGGAGGGTGGGGAGCAATTATCAGCGCGACCGCTTATGCTGACGTGCAATCAACCATCAAAGCCTGGTTGCGTCTGCACAACGGAATGCGCCGATGTCCCAAGGGGGCGCGTTGGATTTAAAGCTCTAAATCTGAATGGGGGGCAGAACTTTGCAGGAAATAGGCTTTCACAGTCATACACCAGACTGCCTGGAGTTGGCGTCTTAACACAAATGCTTCTGTCCATGTGGGTTTCCTGCTTCCTACAGTCTGCTTTGACTTGTGTTTTGGAAGAAACTAACCACAATAATCAACTTTGCACAGAATGGTGTGGCAAAGAGGACGACGAGGGGATGGTGGCGATATAGAAGAGTTTGATATCTGTTACAGCCTTACCGCTGCAATTAGTGAGCTGGTGCGCTTTCCAGGCATCCGCAATCGAAGTAACGTCGCCATTCAGGAAGATGGGCAATGGTGCGCCTCCGTGGTCCAGATGGGGGATGCGAGCCTCAATTATGTCGCGAATAGCCTCCCACTGACACGCATCGCTGGTTCGTTGTGAGGGTGTCCGTCCGTGGATCGTCACCCAGTCCAAACCCATGGCGGCAGCCCTTCGAATGAGCTCGACGGTGAGTCTTACATTCTGAGGCATATGAAGAAAAAAGACATGCAGAGGAAAAGGGCAATATTTCGAAATAAGTTCTACAGATTTGATTGATTTGACCAATGACTGGAGCGCGATATAGAGTTTTGCCGAACTTCTATGTGCCCTCTGATTTCGAAAAACGCAAAATCCAACGATGTCCCCCAACTCTGCGGTCACGAATGGTTGCATTGAAATAGGCAACGGAAGTAGGACTGGAGTGGCTAAAACTGGAGTCTGTGCGTAAATGACGCCAAAGAAAACAATAAAGTTACGCAATAAACAGTGTGAATAAAGTCTCCCCTCGATTTTCGACACTACCGAGGTCGGTTAGTCGTCCATTGTACTGCTAAATCTTCGGGTTGCTATGCAATCGAGAAGGGGCTGACTTAATTAGTTTACCGGTGTTCAGTCTAGAAAGAAACCTAGCCCAATACAAGCGGGCAGCAAAGAGTTGCCCTTGGCCAACCACAAAATGGTAGGGTTGAATAAGGTCAATTTTCCAAGTTTCCACTTGAAAATACCTATTGCTCTAGAGCCGTGGTACTCCTCCACTTTAGTAGCCTCACAGCCACTGGCAAATTATGTTAGTAAATTTTTTGGCCAAAATATTTATGCCTCGGTCTCCAAGTACACTTTTTATCAACCGGGTCTCTGTCATGCATGTCAGCAAGGAAAGAATATACTTCAGTCAATGCTGCTGGTAAAAATAAAGGTTGTGATTCCTACATTTTCTTCACTCGAGTCGGCTCCTGTAGCTCTGCTGCTTGAAGTTGGAACAAGACGGATTTTTATACTGAGGGAAAATGGCACCCTGCCTGGTACATCCGCGGCGGGGCGCTTGTCGCAGTCAGCTGTATCGGTGGGACAGCGCCAACGTGGCGCCACGCTTCGAGCTGCCTTCACAAGATCTGCGATCAGTTCTGGTTGCTTCAGCATTGCCGCTCCATATCCGTCCTTCATAGCCCAACTACAAGATGCAGAAAAACAATTAGGACTTCATAGACATTCGCACAAGGGGGTACAAAGCTCGTAGATAGCAGCGATGACTGCTGCAGGGCCTTAATGTGTGTTCTACTGGGAATCGCGATCAAGGTCGGATAAGGCGCAGTGTCGTCTGGCATAACTTCCTGCGACGAGGGAGGCCAGTCAGGGACGTTATGAAGAAAGTCCGGCCAAAAAGTGTTCTTGGATAAGGGCGCAAGGCGCAAGGTTCGCCAGGCTGCTGACAGTGACGACGACAGCAACCAACGAGTCTTCAAGTGCAAAGGGCGAATGCAATAATAGAGGGGACACATGCCAACCACAGCCACATGGGCATTTTCAGCAAACAGAAAACGTTCTCCAATGAAATTCTATGCTTGCAATGCTATAAAAAAAGAGCGAAATGCATCTATTCGCAGAGAATTAGCTTCACGTCATGCTAATTGGGGTATACACTCATATAGCTTGCTTTTGGGATATGATCCGTCTAAACCAGTTTCCTATGGATACTACTTGTATGTAGGTCTGGACAACTTCGGTAGCACCGAATTGCTAGTCGCGGAAAAATCTGACCGCGGTATCTCGGAGGGTAACAAGCAAGGACATTGGGAAGATTGCAGAGTAGAAGCATAATGAGACTCAGGTTAAAAAGGGCTGTACATATTCCCGTCAGAAACGTGCGTGTGTTTGCGGAATAAAGTCTAAAGTACAAAAGTGGACGCAGTGCACAGATAGTTATCAGAAGGCCCGGGTCTTCGAGTGCAAGCCTCTACGCTAGGTGACATAAAAGGAAACCCCGGAAGAGGCAAAGCTCAAACTAATTCGGTATGTATGACATGTAATCCATGAAAACAATTCATAATTTGAAAGACTGGCTGAAAGAAAGCTAACTAGACGGTCCACGGACTAAAAAAAATAAAGAGGTATCGGTCACAAAGAAACCTTTGTGGACATCCGCAGTTGAGGTCCACGCCGTCGCACTGGTTGAGGAGCATTTCACAACAACGCTCAAAATTCGGTCCGCTCTTGCAGGCCAGTTGAACGATGAGAGGGCGATCCTCGGGACAAGTAGTGAACTCCACTGCGCGGGCTTGTTCAGAGTGCAAGAAGGAATCGCTCATGATCATTGGTGAGTAGGCAAGGTCAATATGGTGCTTTCGGACCAATAGACGGAAGGGAAGTCTGAAAATGGAGAGGGATTTATGTGCAGGGCAAAAATGGGCATGACAAATGGCTGGACAGTATTTACGAGAAAAAATACCACGCAAGCATTGAGGGCATGCATTAAGCTTACTTAAGCACTTCGATGGAGAACGTCAACATGCACCACAACTACTCCAAGTCTTCGTGTCGGCAATCTCACGACGTTGTGCATGGCACACGTAAATGGGCTGTCGGCTGTTGCGCCCAAGCTTCGCACCAGATGTCTGACAGGATCGGATAATCGACGGGCGAGCGGGAGATGAACACTGGGGAATCCACTCCCCCCCCCCCCCGCGGCATACCTGCGGTTTCCTCCCTTCAATAGACTTCAGACGTTTGAAAACGTCATGACGAGCTAAAAGCCGTGGCTGGGAAGGTTTCCAACTGATGGGACAACTTGGTTATCACGCTCCGCACCGCGTATGTACGTGGAGTGACGGGCTGAGGGACTGAGAGCCCGGCTCAATGGCTTCTTAACGTGGGCTTTATAGCACTCTTACGCACGTGGGATCAAGCCGCCCCATGTGCACGCCCGTCAGAGGACCAGGCAGTGAGCAACACGCGTAGACGGACTGTTTAGTTTCGCTGGCCACTGCACCCGAGTTCACCGCCGATCGTCTTGACATTGTCTTGCCATCAGAGCCTGGCGGATGAGGGAGTGCGGCAGATGGCGCGCAAATCTACCTCACTGTGAACTAATTTACGCGTAATTCACCGGCGCTGCGCTAACTCCGAGCGGCACACACGGCAGAGGTCGTCGCTCGAGACGGCCAGATTGTCAAGACGACGAAAGGACAAAAATAACCCAACCCTTTCTTAGTTTTGTAGCTTTCCTCATGTGCCTCAGGATCCCCAGGAAGAAGGAGAACAGAAGGCAATAACATTTACAGTAGTGGAAATTGCTAACACATACGGGCTTCAAGTTATTTTCGGTTGCACCAGGCTCAATAAGAGAAGGATCCGCGATTTGGCTACCAAACGAATCTGTAGTGCCTCAAGCGTGTACACGCCTTCCACTCTCGCACCTGCATAGCGCTAAGGACCACGTGATCGCGGCCTCTGAGCAGCCGGTACATGTGCGCATGCGGCCTCTGGGACAGCCAATCACAGGCGCCCAATCAACTGATCAAGTTGACGCTGACTAACTCAAATGTGACGCCTATCCATTTGCGCACATATCACCGTAGCGGACAGACGCGCGCAATGGCCTGGAGCCGGCCGCACGTCGGGGGCTCTGAACACTACTAGGCTTCTTTCCTTTTCTCCTCCAAAGCGAGACTGGGTCGTGATTACCGTGGTGCTCTGAGTGCACTCGCTACTCTTGACACTACAAACCACACGACAGGGTAAACGGAGGACTAGGAACACCTAAGTGGAGTTAGAGACAGGATCAGAACTTACTTCGAATAACGAACCATGGGCGCGGAAACGCGGACGAAGGGGACATCGTCTGGAATGTACCTTGAGACGATGTCCATTGAGGGGGAGTCGTGGAAAGAATCTAGGAGGAACAGAAGGAAAACACTATCGGGAAAGAATATCTTAGGAATCAAATTCCTAGAAAGAAGGTGAGAATGACTTACGCTGCCATGTGTGCATCCAAATTGGAATGCTTGCTCGGACAAACAATTGCACAAAATGCCGAGTGTGCAATGAGGAGGCAGATAGTTATCAGTAAAACGGCCGAGACTTATGATATTGCCCACTTTCGACCACAAGGTTTGAGAAAGGGCCGATAATAGTCGCGCTAATTTAGTACATAAGGTGTAATTCCGAAGTAGGGTAGTTATTTCTCAGTAAACGTGCATGTAGTTATTGAATCTGCTTTTTCCTCTACTAGGAGGTTTCCACTCGATCGGCCTGCAACTCAGGTTCAAGGCCACGCGGTGATTGACAAATTCACAAGACTATCCGACTGCCGTATCGTACGCGGTCCGTGCAATGAGCAGTAGGCGCAACTCACACATATGCTGCATGGACGTTAATGACAAGCCTTTTCCTTCTCATTCAGTGCCGGATTGAAAAAACCCGACAAAAAAAGACATGGACACTGACAGAAATGCGCCAAGTCATGTCCTGTAGCCTGACCGGTGGACGCAATTCCGGGATACACACTCCAGTTCGCTTTTGGGGAAAGAATAATATTTCTCGGTCATGCGCAAGTTGCCACCAGGTCTCGGGCGCTGATTTCTTCCACAGTAGGCGAACGCGCGTGCCACGCATTCGCAGTAAACAAGTGAACTGCGAAACCTCTTGAGACAGCGAATAAGACCTTGGCCAACCACATCGATCCCTATGAGACTACAGAAATTTTCCCTTGAATTTCTGCGAAAATGTCTAACCAACCAAACGCAATGACAGGGAAAAACACTAGCGCTGAGGCATTATTGTAAGAGTATTAAAGTGGTGCATGACAGCTGGAAAACAGTTTGATGGGGACCAAATAAGATATGGAAAATGCAGTTGATAAGGTCAGAGCCCCTTGTCATCCCACATGACTGGGTTATGCGGAATTGCATGGACACAACACCCTTTCCGTAAAAAATCTAACCACAGCTTTCATGACCTGCGCATACTTGAAAAGGCAGTCAGTCAACACCTGGATGCCAGTATTCAGTAGGAACCTGCGGGAACTTATGAAGTCTGGACTACGTTAATCAGAAACGGCCGACCAGGTGCTGCGCATGGGTCAGGGTCGAAACAGTCAGGAAGGGCGCAGGCGTACGTCATTCGAGGTGCGAAGCCAGGGGAAATCTTATTCAAAATATGGGCAAGCAGAGGAGGGGGGAAGCCCGATTCGAGCAGTGGCGACAGCTTACAGGTGGAAAGAGTACGCAAAATGGATAGAAACAAGAATGGGATGCCTACTCTCTACTCTGCCGAAGGACTGGGAAAGATCCTAAAAATTGCAAATTTAGCTAATACCGGCACAAGTGATATGTACAGGAGGCCCCTGCTGAAAATACAGGGATCTCTATAATAACATAACGTGAAAAACACCGCTTCCTCGGACCAGATTGGAGCGTAGGGCGCACAAGGATGAAATTATACGAATCATGACAGGTAAACTGTACCGAGAAGGAAGTGCTTGTGCGTCAAGAGATATGGGTGGAATAATCAGCTCCAGTCGCATATCGAGAGAGATATGAATATGTAGTTCGTACAAGACTTAGCCTTCACAGAGGGATTAGGTCCACGCATAGTTTACACACAAGTAGGTTGTTCCGACTTTAATTCTGAACTGTTGGATTGCGGATCTGAGATAATGTCGGCGACAAGATAAATCACTGAAGGCGCGAGTAACCGCCGGCATGTTTGTCGACACTAGTTAAGGATTCAGATACTGACCGGTGTCAATGTCTTGACATCTAGCGTTGACGGTTGATTCATGGTTCTGAGTGAGGAAACTATGACAAATCTCAAGACAGTCGAAAGGACTGAGTAGAATCCCACCCTTAACCGAGCTAGTTTCTGCAGGATGCAAGGGTTTCTCGTGGTTTAAACGGCGATCCTACTTTTCGACCAAAAAGGAATTGATGTGGTTACGCATTGGCCCAAAGAACCTAACGATTTATTCATGGCAATGTCAAGGAGCACGATAGTATTATCAAAAAGAGGCAGAAATTAGATAAGTATGCCACCAGACTGACGCGTCAAACAGGAGACTGCAGTTCAAATGCGTTTATCTTCGTGAAAAAGAAAGTTACAAAAACAGAAGTAAACATTAAAAAGGATTTAAAATAATCAAAGTAATGCTTCCGTAAGCGCAGAACGGGGAAGAGTAAGGATGGAGGACCATGGTTCATACAGAGGGTAAGGGTAAAAAGTCCTTGAAGGTTGGCGAGTAAGATGAGAATTATTATTCCAGAATTTCTGAGCGTGGTGACAAACGTCAGGCAAGAACAGCAGCCCCTGACACGTAGAGCTGTTTCAACCTTCCACGAAATTCCTCCGGGGTAAACCGAATGTATTTTTCCCGCCTTGATGTGAACGGGATGGAGAGGGACTTTTCCCGGAATGATTGGTAGGCTGGAACGAGTTCGGCGCAGACACATTCGCAGAGACTCTCGCGCAAATCCTTGTCCGGCAGTGACAGCTGTGAATGCATCTTCGTCAGGTTCACAAGGCCTTGATTTATATTCTGCATAAGTGAGACAAAACGGGTTACTTTCGACTTTGCAAGTAACCAGTAACAAGGCATAAAAACTATCGCGACATTAATCTGGAGGAAGGGTGTCAGTACGAGTTACCAACAGAGTTAGGGTGGCTTAGAGTGATGGTGGAAGAAAGGTAGGATGATTCAGCAACTTTGGGTGCTTACAGTCCATGCCGCCTTCATTTGTGCCCTCTCGCGTGAGTCCAGCTACAAAACACAATAAATTTGCTGAAATTGAAAGAAGTAGAAACCATTCATGCGCATGCAATGGCGTGACTGAATGAGGTAGTCAGGATGAGCAAGGGCTCGGTGGAAGGCGACGGTTATGAGGAGCAATAACAGTAGTAAGAAAATTAGTGCGAGTGAGGAGGAAGCCAAGGACGTAAACGCGAGGTGAAGAGGAATTTAAGTGCAGGCGAGTAGTGAGAGGGTGCAACAGGGGTTGGAAATACCAGAGGGAGAAAACACAATGACGATGGAGTCTATACCTGTCTTCGTTGCTGCAGTTGGTCGGCAAGATTGCCAACCAATAGGTTAACAGCACGCATGCACCTACATGAAAGGAAAACCTGGTGAACATGCAATCAGGCGGAGTATGGCGAGCAGAAGAGCAGTCAAAAGTGGGAAAAATCGAAACTACAGGGATAAGCAACTAGTTGCGTGCCAATGAGTCTGACGGCGTAAAAAACAGCGGACGCGACCCTGCCGCCGTCTGCCTGAGTGGGGATGGAACGAGCCTGTCCATTTACACAAAGCATATCTGCTCAAAAGTGCCAAGTCCCTTGGGATAGGCCGGAATATATGTCATTGAGAACATCAGTGAGCGCAAACCTGATGTCCCACAGGAACTGGCAAGCGCCAAAAGCAGCGATTGACAGTCAAGTTGGCGCACGGTGATAAATAGGGAGGAGACGGATGAACATGCGCTTTTTCACTACCAAGGCAATAACGGTCAACGCAAGGGAGCGCATGATGCTTGCTAGGAGGCATGCGGCAGCTGCAATGTAAGCATAGAACCTTGGTAATTGCGGGGGAAGATGAAGAGGCGAGGCCTGATAAAGGGTTCGGAATGTCTGGCTGCGGTGGTGAAGCGGAAGAAGGCTGGGGTGGGCAGACCGCTGAGGAACTGGACTTGCCGAGGCGCGGGGAGGCATGAGCCGAGACGGCATTGGCCAGGGCGGCGCCCCAGAGAGAGGCCGTGTTGCGCAGGTAACGAACTGCTCCTTCTGTGCCCACAGTGGGTGCAAGATGGAGCATGTCTGTCAGGCTAAAGAGGCGTAAAATACACCCTGAAGGCGGTCGTCCGCATTCAGCTTGCGCCCTTCTCTCTCTCTCTCACGGTGGCGAAACAGACGGAAAGCACACAAAACACACATGCAATAGTTCGACCGCAAAAAGAGACGAAGTCCATGAAGAAAGCACAGCCATAAATTGAGAGTGAATTTCATTATAGCGAGACAGACTTTCGCCAAATCTACCTTACTTTCTCTTACTACACCCTCCTGTGCTCGGAGGACGTGATAAAGTCAAAAAAACGGACTAGTGCGAGAACAGTGATCGATGAAGCAAAACAGCCTGCTACACACGAGCTGTTCCTGAACTTCACATATAGCAGGGTGCAAAAGACAGGACAGTTCTCGTGTAAGCGAGATGTGCGCATTCACGCGGAAGACTTATCGCCCTTCAAAAAGACGCCGGCGAATCGCATTGCATTCACACCGTATCAGGGGGGGGGGGGAGGGTGAGGCACGGTAATAGGAACCACCTCCCCGTAATACGGGTGGCCTTGAGTTAAGTTCCAGGTACAGCACTTATTTCCATGTCCTAACGTCAACCCCGACCCTAAACTCCCTCGAGGTGAGCGCATGGCCGTCTGCGTTACGCAGAGCTCCTATTCCCATGTCCTACCAAGGAGTGTATGACGCCCTGCTTACAGTGGCTGTATATGCATGTCTGACTGAGTAAGTCTACCTGTAGTCCAAGTGGGTTAGTGTGTGCAGCTAAGGCGAGGTGTTGTGTGGGGGGCCTGGGATGTGCTATTTTAAAGAAGGTTTTCGTGGATGTGCATGTGGCAGAACAGGCCAATGTAAAGTTGGAATGTTCTGGGACAGTGTGCACAGGAGGAGTATGCATAATGTGTGCTAGTCGGAGTTGTAGATGCTGATCCTCTGGCCACGGTGCGATGAATCCGCAGGTGACCGACCAGACCGATGCGTAATTTGAAGGCGCGATCGTAACGTAAAAAAAGTTGGCACTGTGCCTGCATTGCTGATGGCGGTGGTGGATGTTTTTTTGTGTTCGGGCGACGGTTTCGTTATCGTGGGTACGAAGATGCCTGGGCAAGGCAGACCTGGACTGGAAATTGTGATATAGGAACAAAAGGTAGAAGGGGTGTCCTCAGTGATGACACTGACAGTGACACTCTGTAGAGAGGGAGGCGGATCTGATCGCCACGAAACTGCGATAGATCCGTCTGTGTCCAACGAAGCCAATCAATTAACAGAGCGTCAGCTGGCAGTGAGGACATTATGTCGGAGATTGACTGTTGGAGAGGATGGCGCGTTACACTCCAGTCTTTCGTGTTTTGCCCTGACCTCCAACATAAGGATGACCATGAAAACCGTTGCCCTAACTTTTACGACAATACGTTGAAACTGCTAATCCCGCGAGAGGAATCCCCAGATCTCCTAGTTTATTGGCAGATGAACGACAAAGGAATTCCGGGCAAACCTGAATCGTAGCTTTTGTCCGCCTGGTCGGCGAGAACACGTGGCGACAACAACCCCTTAGCAGCTTTAGGGCCGAGTACGCCGAGACGTGCGCCGTTTTCAGACCTCGGTTGAACCTAGAGTGGGCTCAAAAAGGTTAGAAGTGGGTGTAGGCGTAGTGTCTGATCTGACGCAGGGAACCGGTCTGCGCGAGCTCAACACGCATAGTTAGCGCGTTGTGATAAATTTGGCATAGTCGGACATCATTGCGAAGTAAGGTCGGACATTACTGACCTCAAGCTCGTCTCTCTTCCAGTAGATAAGTCCAAATCAAGCAGGGCGCAGAGATCTAACGTGAAATAAACATGCTGCCCCGCGTAGGCTACACATGTTCTGGTCCTGTTTATGTCTGACGCAAGAGAGCAGTCCATTTTGGGTGTCCAGTTCACCACCAGTAGGCAAAATCAGTCGTTGCTGTGGGCAGAATGTGGTGGTAGAAAAACTAGCAGGCTAGATGAGAAGCCGAAAAATTTGTGACTTGGCAAACTCACTTTCGATAGGTTTCTCAAAGAAAACGTTGCCATTTTTTGACTACCTGCTTATTTTTCTGCACAGCAAGTGCCAGTAAATTTGCAACCAAAAAGGCATCGGGATCTCTTGCCATCTACCTGATTTACTCAGCCACCGGCATGGACCTAAATTGGAATGCCGGCCAGAGAATCTGCGTCGCTGATATCCACTGCGGTAGGTAGGCGAAGTTATGTACAGATCGAGACGGGAACTCAACTGGCTAGTACAAGCAATTTTTTGGAAAGGTCGAAGTGAAGTTATAGGTTGGTTAAAATAGACTACCCGCGAACGTAGAACTTCTTTCGATCCTCCAGAAGGCTTCGGAACTTATCAATGGCCGAGTTTTCATAGAGCAATAGCTGCTCATGCAGACCCGTGCTGAAATGGTAAAATGAGAAACAAAATAGTGGCCGAAACGGCAGCGAATGGGAGAAGAAGGGGTAAAATGCAATCGGTTCACGGTACCATACAAAAATATTACTCGCGAACGATACACCAGTTTATCTGCATCGAGCTCACCTGATCGCTAATGCGGCTACAATTACGGTGGACATTATCTCTACAGTATTAATAAGTGTCAGTCACGTCAAAAGGGTACATTAACTGACGCAAAGGCACGGATGTGCAATTAAAAAGAGCTGTGACTGACCTTAGAAGCGTTTTTATGATGTACTGCACATTGTTCATCTGGAAAACCAGCTTCTGAATGTCCTCAGGGTAGTTCTCCGACTTCTTGTCTATGTTCGCGATGACTGCCGCGACAACTTGGACTAGATAGGAATGTACGAAGAAGGTTAAAAAACACCAAGTCGGCAGAGAAAAGGAACTGCACTTTAGTGCTTTTTAATTTCCTTACAAATTGACTGTGAACTTGGAATAGATCAGTATATTTAAGGTCTGTAGGTTCAGACCAGCGTTTTTATGCATGATAAGTGGGCCGAAGTCCATTAACCACAGCGGGCAACCGCGTAATATTCATTAACTGCCGACAGACAGATAGTAGTATACTTTAGGGTAAGGTGATTCCATACTAACAGCACAGGTAGTAGCCAAAAGCTTGCATAAGATACCAGCACCAGATGACTGATCCGCTCGGACTGGTGCATGTAAGAGGGAGGAGCGAATGAGGTCGGGCCTCAGGAGGCCACTTCCACGGCACTTCGGCGCATTCCCCACTATAGAAAATCTGATGAGCCTTGAGACTATCCCCCCGGCGCGCTAAAAGCCTTGGCGGGGAAGGTTGCCAGCTGATGGGATAACTCGGTTCCCGTGGTCAGCAGTGTATGTTTACGTGAAGTGGCGGACTGGTGGACTGACAGTCAGGCCCAATGACTCCTGAATGGGGCCTCTATGGCACACCCGAGTCACCCCTTCCAGTGAAGACCTGGTACATTCGGCCGGGACCAGGTCGTGCATGACACGCATAGATGGGCTATTTACAGTAGGTGGGCTAACTCATGAAATGTCAACCGAAATTCCGAAATGCGTTTCCGTTTCAAACAGATTAACTAAGTAGGGTTGTAAAACTAATCGGTCTGCAGTATAAGTCTACAATAATTCATTTACCTCAGGATGCTAGCTTTCGAACGAATTTCCTTCCGGATACATACGAAAACTATACTGTGTAGAAATGACTACTTAAGTGGCATGCATTTTCCCATTGATTTTCGATGCCCTTAAAAATTCAATTATATTTCATGGAAAACATGCATGACAATATTGTTTCTTCTGTTCATTCGGTAGAAAATTACGTCTTCTTCTTATTTTATGCTCGAAGGAAGGACATAATTCGGATTTCAAAAACTATCCTAATTTCCGAATAGTTTTGAACCCGCTCTGCCGTCACACTTGCATTCAGGGTTTCCAACCTACGAGCCATGTATTTTCCGCGTACGAAAAACTTCACATTTCTCCACGGTATTAAGAGGACACCATATAGGGTTCATAAAATTTAGCATTGGATTTGATCCATATTGTTAACTTTACCAGCCGCACTGGTGAATGCAGAGACATGATGTTTTATGAACTGCCATTTCACGGTATTAAAAAATCTTACAATTAAAAATTTTTTTCAAGTCGAATTATACCCTTCCTTCGAGTATAAAATTGGAAGACGTGATTTTCTAGCGAATGAACAGAAGAAAGAATATTGTTATGCATTTTTTCCATGAAATGTAATTGAATTTCTAAGGGCATCGAAAATCAATGGGAAAAATGCATGCTACTTAAGTAGTCATTTTTACACAGTATAGTTTTTGTATGTGGCCGGAAGACAGTTCGTTCAAAGCCAGCATCCTGAGGTAAATGAATTATTGTAGAATTATACTGCAGACCGATTAGTTTTACAACCCTACTTAGTTAATCTTTTCGAAACAAAACCGCATTTCGAAATTTCGGTTGACATTTCATGAGTTAATCCACCTTCCAGCCCTGCCTTCGAGTCCGCATCCGGTCTTGCTAACTCTGCCTTGACACCGGACTCCGGTGGGCGAGGGAGAGAGTGTCTGATGGTGTTATCAGCTTTAGTTGAATGACCAGCACGGATGATCGACCGATGCACTGGAGAGGAAAGAGAGAGTGGGGTCGACTCTGAGGACTCCATCCCCACGGCACTTTAGCGCATTCCTCACTACAACAAATCTGACGCGTGTGAATCTATCAATACGCTCTTAACGTTTTGGTCTAGAGGGTTGCCAAATGACGACAGAACGGCCGGCGACCCTGTGTTATTATTTGCAGTGGTCGACTGGTGGTCTGTGGGTCAGACTCAACTGCTCCTTCTTTATATGCCTCCTAAAGGGGCTCTCACGCATGTGAGATTCGAGCCGAGCACCGCTCTGTGTGAAAACCTGCCGTCGTTACGTGTGTGGTACGCGCAGACGGGTCGTTTAGCTTTGTCAGCCAGTGTGCCCGACTCAGATATCATTCTTAGCTCTGTCTTGACAACGGGCCTACGTTGGTGAGAAAGGAGTGTGATAGAAGCTGCGCAAATCTACCATCATTGTAGACTAATTCGTTCGCAAGTCACAGCCCCTGCGCGCACCCTGATGTGGGACCCACGATGGACATCTTCGGAAGCGAGGGTTGAACTGCCGTCGTGGACATCGTTGACTGTGAAAGCCGAACTGTGGGGTGGTGTTCAAGGGTGTGTGGTATGACCAAATAGGCCCATGTGATGGTTCAATGCGTAGTCACGGTGTAGGCAAAAAAGGCGACCTAGACGCCTGACAGAAATGTGCGGCCACAATGCGGTCCGCTTAGAGCTGAGACTCACGGATGTAGCCGCCGAATGCTGCCGCTCGTCCTTTCATCGAGTCTGCAGTCAAGGAGGCTAGATAGTCAATTGATGCCTCCGGAGGGAAGCTCGTCTCATCCCACATCAAAATCACATCGACAACTGATTCGTACTCCATTAGTTTTTCCAAAAACAGAAGAGCCTGTGAGAGGAATCAGAAGAAAAAAACGAGAAAATATACAGTCAGAAGTGGTGTTAGTTATAACAGGCTGAAATGGTAAATAGTAGTAGTAGCAGCAGCAGTAGAAAGTCTAACCAGAACTACTCCGGAGGAACCACTTTCTGTCAGGTGATCCAATTTTGGCTTAGTTTTTGCGCCAGGGATAAAGTCCATAGACCGTGCTTCATGTTGAGCTAACCCGTCGAGGATTGGAGGCCAGTGCTGAGCCGTTCCGGCGTGTGTGTATTACCGCCTAATTGCATTTGAAAACAGTCGGACAACTCAAACTGGGCGATTTTTTTCTAGGGCCAGCAAGAGCTACGGTGACCTGGGGAGGGGAGAGGGTATGCGACAAAGTTTGCCAGCAAAGCTTACGAGGGGCTACCCTCGAGCAGATTGCAAAACAGAGTTGTTCACCAAAAGAAATCAAATCTTGCCGCAGATGCCACCGTCGTCCCTTAAGGAGGGTGTATACAACGCCGAGTATTTACTTCACAAAACAATGATTCAACTCACATTGGAGGCCAGTTCGTGGACAGTGGCGTCCGGGGGGACAAGATTGCCGCCGGCAGTGGGTGACAGTTGCTGCACAAACAAATCCAGCGTCTGTTTCGACTGAGCGCGCAAACGATGTACAAGGTCGTTGAAAGGCTGACTGTACGGCGCAATGATCTGGAGAAAGTGGGTGAATGAGGCAGTAAAGTATACTGGAATTGTAAGTGAAGAGAGAGAGAGGTGTCGCAGACAAAACACCGGGATAGTACCTTCAAGTTCTCCGTAAACGACTTTGCCAGTTCGAAGAAACGTCTCAGCACAACTAGCAGGGAGATTATCATGTGAAACTCGCCACGTCCTGTTGCCCGATTCATCAACCGGACAAGGAGCTTAAGGGAAGAAGAGAGAAGGGAGAAATATACTCTGGGCAAGAAAGTGAGACAGCAGGGAAGCTTTTAGCGCGAGTCAGGAAGCTCAACAAAAAAACTTTCAGGATGTTACATGGAAGTATAGGGAGGGAGGAAGGAGCTCACATTGCCTTCGCTGAGTAAGTCATTGGTAGCACCTTTGCAGATTGCGATGCAGGCGAAGCGAGCTTCATGTGAGTTGCTACTGAGTTTGAGATGATCGAGAAGTGAACGATCGTTCTGGGAAGCGCGAGAAAAAAAAGGAGAAGAACGTATGAAACAGCGGGCTTCTAAAGACCTACAAAGTCCCTCTACTTGCATGTCATTCCACGCTGAATACGAGCATTTACCTCCGTTTGTATATTAATAGAAGTTATCGAGGAGCAGACACGAATTTTAACCTATAACGAGTTTTCCAGGCTGTAACGCACTTCAGACGTTGTGACAAAAGGTTGGTTTTTCCTTCTCAGGTGTCAATCAAGTACCCAGATTAACGAGGGTTCTTTGGCAGTCTGTTTACAGATGCAACTTGCGTGGGACGCTTATAAAGACTTGAGTAGTGATAGAACTGGGCTTCGGGCGCAAACTCCTAGCAGTCAAATAGTGAATATCCCATTCATTTCGATTTGCGAGGAGAGCGGTCAGAAATTCCACGAAAATCACAAGGTAAATTTCTGACGGCTGCAAGACCGATAAGCGTATCCATGACATACCGGACTTTGACAAAGTCTGGAAGGTTAACGAGTAAAGTTGGTAGAGCATACTGCTGTATGGAGACCTGACGAATAAGAAGGCAAGTAAGATTAATTTACTCACAAACATGGCGGATTCAGATGCAAGTGTTCACAGAAAAAGCCCTTGACGCGGCATCGACAGGCCGGCGGTTCGGGTGCGTTTTGCAGTAAGCCTTTTCTGATTGTGAGTTTCCAACTTCACATGGTCTGATTTAAGGAGTAAACTTATCAAACCGAATGTAGTTCCTAGACCGAATAGGATCATAAGTGGTAGTGGGTATGCCTAGAAGCCCTATAGTTGAAGACGATAGGTAGGATAAATGATTACAATTCGTCCGGCTTTGCGTCTCACAAGGCAGTTGGAAGTAATCATTTGGATAAGTAGATAGGCGCCGGTATTTTAGTGATTGAGGTGTGTGAATTTCCAAATAAAAGCGGAAGAACCTACTTCAACTAATAGGATGAAAGCTGACAGGCTGGTGTTGTAATGTTCGGAGTCTAGGTCCTCTCCCTCGGCCATTCCACGACGAGAGTTGGCTGAAGGAAAATGCAGAAAGACAAACGCAATTAGATTATTATTAGTATCGTTATAATTGGTAACAGTAGTGGTGATACTAGGCTGTGGTGGTGGTGGTGGTGGTGGTGGTGGTGGTGGTGGTGGTGGTGGTGGTGGTGGTGGTGGTGGTGGTGGTAATAGAGCAGTAGACTCCTGCATCTAAGAGACCTGGGGGCAACGTCTTTGTACGAAAGCAGACCCGGCGTTCTTTGCGTCATGTTTACCCTAGTTCCTCGGGCGTGAACAGCTGTCTCTATCTCATAGGCCAAAAGATGAGTACAAGTAGGCTGAGTGAAGTCGTACCTGTCAAATGACACAGAACTTAATGATATCGTCGGTATGCATGAGATAAATACACGACGGACACAATAGCTTTCTCTCGATAAGGTTAGGAATTGACTTATGTCATAATCGCCCCCGTTTATTGCGTCAGAAGGGGCAGTTGCAACTATTGAGAGAGAAGTAGCACAGCTCGTGGACGTACAAGGGAATGCAACTCGTGCATGCTATCAAAGTCCCTTATCTGCACGATTCAGTGAGAACGTGAACGGTCACCTACTGTTAAACGACTGGATGTGTCGTTTTATGTTATTACCGACAAAGACAAGAGAGATTGGAATGGCCATTTCTGGCTTATTAGCCGTCCTCAGCCAGTCATACCCAACTCGGAAGTGTGGAACACCTGAGGCTCAAACCTACGACCTGTTAGAAGTCCACGCATCTAGCCACACTTCGGGGTTGGGTATGACTGGCTGACAACGGCTACTAGGCCAGAAATGGCCACTCCAGTCTCCCTGGTCTTTGTCGGCAATAACATACTGTCTATATCATGTACCGCTGTGCGGCTAGTGGTTGGGCTAGAGAGAGCGCGTAAGGCACAACGGAACGAGGGAGTTCCATAAGAATGATCGGTGAGCGCCCCCCTACCAGGTGCCGTTTCGTTAGGCATGATAGAACTACCGTGGAAATAAGACGGAAGTCATCAGAGCGAACGTGTTCCACCAAACAAGTCAGTTAAATGAGCGCAGGTTACGGTTTGTGTAAACATTCACAATTTCAGAGAAAACCAGTTCGGCTAAAATCCCGTTATTATGAAGTTAGACTTCAACAAACCTCGAAACGCCTGTTTTGACTTCGGCTACTAAACCCTGAAGGTCCAGGCAGGACGTAGCTCGATAACCACGCTCGCCTCTTGGCGTCAGTGTGCGCAGCTAGAACATCCAGAAGTATGTCGTCAAGTGCCGAGAGCCTTTTGTCATCCTCAACCGTCTAGACTGATTTACAAATGAGTGTGTCGCAATTCACAGGTTTTTGATGTAAGGATTCCCTAGTCCAGCAACGGACGCTAACTGAGGGCTGTTTAACGTAGTCCACCTGACGGTGAGTCTGACAAATGAATTTGAGGCAGTGTACACTAGCGGTGGCAGCATCCGAAATGTATCAAAAACACACAAGGCGCCTTACCATCCCAGACCAGACCATAAGCCTTGTTCGGTGGGCTAAAACAAAAAGAGAAGACCATGAGGCGGTTTCACACTGCATATTAAACGCGGAGATCGTAGGAGCGCCGTGCAGACATTTTTTAAGCCCAGAGGGCATAAGTGAGATGTTCGACCTTGTCCACCGTCTTTAATGAGGGTGGCACTCTATGATGGCGGACTATAGGAAGTGTGGAGAATATACGGTAGGCTTTTAACGATATCTTGGAGACCCTAAATCGTGTCTGAAAAGAATAGTCTGGCCATGTAAAAGTAGCAGAAAATCTACTGTTACAGTGCTGCGTGCTGTCCGCAAAGAATTGATGTGTTGTCCTCATGGTCAATCCTTCGAATCACCGCAGCCGGTATGCCTAGATCGCTTTAGTATAACTTTGCTTTCAAAAGATTGTGGATTATTTTTTCCTCTGTCGAGAAGGGGATAGGATAAAGGCCATCAGTGAAGTAGTAATCCATCGGTCGTCGGTCGGCTTCGTCACTTTCTTCGGTTTACTGTTGACAACCATGGCCCTAACTGTTCGAGTGGCTGTGACTAACTTCAGTCCATTCAGTTTTCATTACCTAAGACCTTAGCGGTTTTGAAATCCCTCCTGGACGGCACTCAGGCAGCGATAAACAGAGAACGATGAGAAAAAACGGTCCCCAGTATTCCATTATGGGGGTTTTAGTGAGGCCCAATAAACCTGTGGGGAATCCCACAATCGGCTCGTTGATAGAATACCATCTAAAAATAGCGCTCTTTCGAGAGCACCAGCGTCTACAAACTACCAATGAAAGCTTGTGTAGACGAAAGTGGGACCACCGCCAGGGAACAATACAAAGTGTAGTTAGACTGTCGTTTGAGTAGCGAAAAGTCAAGAGCTCGAATGACTACTTGTCCAACGCCTCGAACCACTGGGTCACGGGCTCGTTGTCTTTTCGGTTGAGATCGGGAATATACAATGGTAGAGGGACGCTCAACGATCGTTTCTACGGAACTCACTCGTCTCCTTGTGCCTTATGGGCTCTCTCTCGAGTCCAACTAGCAGCCGTAGAGCGGCGCATGATATAGGCAGAATGGTATTACGACACAGGCAGGGAGACTGGTGTCAGGTGGGGCAGAGTTGGCTCAGTTATTGAGTGAGTTTACATCCAATAACTTGTGCGAAAGTTGGGAATCGGATCTAGATTAGTCCCCCTCCCTTTAACAAGTTACATGTAAGACCGATTGCTCTAGTTAGCTCGAAGAAGATACGCTCACTGTGTGGGTTTCTCCTGCCCGTTTTTGTATTACCGAATTCGAATAGGCCTTATTCGGGATTGGAGGACAAGAACTAGTAATGAAGTATATTCGTCTGAAGGTCCGGGAAAGTTACGTCGACTCCTTCCGTGCTCGTCTTTGCCGGCGTTTTCAATGCCAGACGTCGTACTGACACAAGAACACCAGGCTCATGACGCAGAATGCCCTTTTATGGGTTTGGGTCGACGCTAAAAGTAATTTCGGATAGACCTTCAAGGCATTAGTAAATGCTTACCGCCAATGCACAGTTAATTTGTCCGGGTACGCAAAAAAATCCGTTACCAGAGGTGACCGCATTAAAAACTCATTGACCGGTGCGTCAGACCTCCGCCCACTGCACTGTCGATACTGGTCCCCTTAAAAATATGAGTTTGCTTAGTTCGCAGCCATGGTCTGCTGGAGACTATTCTGCCACCAACCACCCGTGGACGCGCCGGGTGACAGGCAGCTAAGCTGATGACGGGTAGCACCGTCTCCCCCGACGTGCCATGGCCCTCGTTAGGTACGCAGTATTGGGAAGAGAGATGACTTCACCAACAAGGCGACGACCTCCACTTCCCCCAAGTAGCCTCTCTTACTACGGCTCTGTGCAGTAGACAGCGCGACTGTATTACAGAAGAAAGTTAGGCAGCCTAAAAGACTGTCTGCGGCACTGTCTGCAGGCCCTTTGTTGGATAGTGACTTTAGTAATTTGGTTGGACAGTTGGGCACCTACCGTTTTCGGCCTGGTGGCACGAGATCCAGGCTCCGGTTGGATGCTCCAACTCGACTTCGCTAGAGTGGAGAGAGAAAACAGATTGCATTGGCACTTTTGCAATGAAATCAGCACTAGTTTATCAAAAGGTCAGTGGGAACTCTGTCCTATAAAGGCTTCAGATAGGTTAAATTCCCTGCGCCGTAAAACACAGGTGGTTAGAACACTGCGCCTAATTTATCGTAACGGGGTAAATTAAATGTTTAGGTAGATACAGTAAGAAATTATACATGGCCCGTTTTGGCTTCACGGTGTTAGTTAACAAAGTTCGCATTGAACACACGCAGGCCAACATACCGTTAACACAGGGTAAGCAGGCAAAAAACGCGGGTGAAGCGGTGTAAACCAGTGATCATGCAGATATGGAAGCTTCGATAATTCGCAAAGAGGAAAACTAACAGGGCCATTTCAAAGGTCAAACATCTACCGGAAGGCAAACGTACCCCAGACTGGGCTGAATTCTCTTGAGTCTTCTGGTACTCTCGTAACCTAAAAAGTACGATGTAAGTAGGCATCTGCAAAACTGTGGAAGGTTATTCTAGGAAAACCGGAGGCTTCATCAGTTCTAGTCCAGCATGAAAAGGGGCTGCCTCGGTCAGCAGTCTGCTTTAATTAGACCATAAAAAGTAAGTTATAAGAGGAGACAAACGCCAACCTTGAAGAGGTCTCGGCATCAGATCCTGCAGTATAAAAAAATTCGCAAGCTTCCTTGCGAAATACCTCTGATAAAGATATCGTGATCCATGACAAGACTTTATGGGAAGGAGGCAATATCAATCTGAGATGCAGGCCAGACCACATAATTGGAAAAAGATAAATACTTCAGTTAATTGAGTCCGATAACGTGGCCTGACAATCAACAATCCTTAGGAATGCAATTTGGGATTTTGATGTTTGAGTAGAAATAGGAAGGAAGCTCAACTTTTTGGGAAATCCAGAGCACCGAAGCCACTTATATCTCCTTTTTTCTACAATGACTGTTAATGCAACTCGTCTGGCAGGTGCGGTGTGCCGATCGTTCTGTCGCAATTCGCCGGAGGACGACAGACTAGCATATCTCCTCGTAGAAGAGCATTCGACAAATATAAGAGCGTCCCGAAAACTGTAGAAATAGGTTAACAACTGACAGCTCGATTGAGGTTCCTATCTCTGCATGTTTGACTCATTAAAATTAATAATGACAGGCAGGCTGAGGTCGAATACCCTCTCACTACCATCGTGATGTAAGATCCTACATTGGTGAAATCGCACCAAACGGATGGACTGGATGAAAGGGTTTCGGCAAATACTCCCCTCGTTCACCAGAATCCACATCTCAAGAAATTCGTTTATGAAGATACTTAAAAGAAATTGTACGCTATAAAACCGAAAACAGTAGCCACTAAGCAAGATTTCACTGAAATATCGAGGATTTACAGATGTTTGCGATTCCACTGCTTCGCGTAATCAGCAATGGTTGGTCTAGGACGGACAGCATTTCCAAGACAGGAATTGACAAAAAAATTAAACAGTGCCCATAGATCACGTTATACTTGGAAAAGGAAACATATTAAAACAAACACGGGCTTTATGATTTTTCGGAGTTGGCATACATGTTTGGACACGTCGACACCTTAACTGCTAATCCCGGGAATGTACTAGTGACGAGATCGAGAGTAGACCGGTTCCGTGTAGGCTGTGGATTATGTGGTTAAGCAACCTTTGACGCCCTCTTGAATTGTGCCATAGGCAGTAGTAGCCGACAAACATCTGCTTCTTCTACTTAAATGCACTTTTTAGTCCCGTCTAGCGATGCCGATGGACATAAACGGCCTATACATCGAAACTGTCGCTAAAATCAAATCCAACTGGTATTCAAGCCGTACTCGTATTCCTGGCTACAATAGCCCCTCCGAGTGGGGAAAATCTTGTCATTTGTCTGCTATCCATTGACTGAGTTGGCGAAAGAGCCCAAAATCGAATGGTTTCGTCAGCTTGATCTCTGACGACAGAATTTTGGTCGCGGTGAGTAACGGCTGGCAAGGACCACCACAACCTGGGTGGATTAAAGAGCAGTAAAGAAGACTGGCGAAAAAAACCCCATATATGTTCGTCGAATCTCAATCGTATTGCGGTGCTAAGACGACCGGAGATGATATCTGACGCAGTGGCTGGGCAGACATTCCCGCCCGCATGTGCTAGTTCCTCTCCCAACAGAACCAGCCTACACATGACCATTCGGGAGGATCCGTCGCAGCGTGACTTTCGATCTCAAGGGTCAAGTTGTCCGCTCAGCTGCCTGTCGTCCAAGCGCCCACGTTTTCAGTCGTAGCTATAGTTTGAGTATGCGAAACTACTTGGAACTATGTAAGACTGCCTTGTCAGATGTGCTTATGTAGCCTCACCCGAAGTAAACAAACCCCAGCCACCCGTAATACGGAACCGGTGGTGATAGGGGTTTTTACAGGTGGGGCCGGGAAACGTACAGGCGACGAGGTCAAGTAGTGGTATGCAGGAGAAAAGCTATTGGGAAAGTGGGGCTGTACTTTGAGTGGTTGAGAAATAGTTGTTCTAACCCTTGATCCCAACCCCAACAGTATTGTGTCCATCAGATGGGGCTATATAACCACATCTTACCGAATTCCTAAACATAATTGACCTAACTTTACCAACGCAGTTGCTTTTTTTGTAGCAAAGAGAGCAATTGAAAACAACGGGCGCGGAGTTTTGACTGACGCAGAAACTCCATTTTAAGCAAAAAAACGAAGCGAACATCTACCGCACCACTTCTCAACCACCACCCTGGTTAATCCTATAATGTTGTGTTTGTGGCACAACCGCCGTATATACGAATATTGTAAAATAAGTAGAATGCATGAATACTTATTCCGGAAAGAGTGTCGACCTTACCTGACTAGAGAGAGCCGCATGAGATCCTTGCGAAAGTCGCAGTAACGATTCAGCGAGTCGGGAAGACGCGGTCCGTCGGCTTTTTGGAAGCGCTGTGATTCCATATGCGAAGAATCCACCTTGCGCAACCAAGCAGAAATCTGCTGCAAACGCAGTGCCACTTCGGGCGAAACCTGTTCAAGTTCCGGTCCTGTAACATCAGACTGCTGTCCCTCACCGATAGAAATAGCGTCTAAGAGGAAGGAGAGATAGGAGGGTATACAGGAAGACGTCAACAGTGCGTATGACTGCAGATTCACAAACCATGGATTAAGGCCCACCGCAATTCGGGTTTCGCCACTTTATTCAATCTGCTCGGCAAAGGCGATCGTCCTCCTGGTTTTGTTTCCCGGATATTTCAATTAACTAATATTGTAACGTGTAGTACGTTACTACCGACAAAGACAAGGGAGACTGGAACGGCCATTTCTGGCTTATTAGGCGTCGTCAGCCAGTCATACCCAACCCCGAAGTGTGGCACACCCGAGACTCGAACTCGCGGCCTGTTAGTTAGAAGTCCACGCCTCTAACCACTGGGCCACGAGCCCGTTGCCCTGTAGGTTTCGATCGGGAATATACAACGGAAGGCACAAAGGAACGAGTGAGTTCCGTAAGAACGATCGGTGAGCGCCCCCTACCATTGTAACATGTCCTTAGGACAACGAAGTGCTCCCTGCTCCCTGTCATGATGGTAGTCTATATCCTGCGATTAATTGCTCTCATTTGCCATCCATTGCAGCCGCAAGTTTGGTAATTCGATGTATTTGGGTAGAATAGGATGACGCAGAAGCTGAGAGGTGGAAAAAAATTATGGGCTACAACATGATTCCGGCAAAAAACATTGAAGAACATGGTCTAGTTCGCCTAAACAGGTGTTCCTCTTGGAACTCGACTGGCAACGTGAACTGGCTGGAGTTTTGAAGAAGGTACGTTTCAAGCTCGGGGGAAAAATCCTTCCATATGGACTGAGAATAAAACTGCTAAATTATGTCGACTAACCTTCTTTCTCTACAAGCTTGTAGAGCCTTTCCGGTAAAATCGGAACAAACGAGCTCTGCAGGGTTTCGTCAAACAACTTTTGAAGTGACTTTAGTCCATTGCTGAAGAGAGCACTCTAAAAGTGGAGGGTTTCCGGAGAAAGAGACGTCTTACCAGGCGACTGTACTCAACGTGTTCGGTGTTATTTTGATCAAAGTAAGCCAGAGAGTCGCGGATCCGGTCCATGGCTGCCAGATAGTCATCCAACGATGTGCCAGGCCTGAAATTGCCATACAAATAAGGGAATACGCCTAGTTAAGTAAATAATTATCATCCAAACTAAGACGAGCATAGTAAAAATGACTGTTCTGATGATTTACAGTCAATCTAAATCACCAGAAGGCAATTTCTACCCACAGCAATACGAAAAATTTTTAATTTCCGGGCACTTAACTGCCTCAGGATCACTTCGCCCAATCAATAACTGTTGGTTTCTTTTTGGGAAAACGACCCATTGGGGTCTAACGCCACAGAGACTTCCGATAGTTATTTGCTATTATAGCGTGATTGAAATAAATGGTGAGTACTTCTGCTTTCACACAATTTGTCACACAGAAAGGTTACCTTGAAAGACCTCTGCTTGACTGGACCTAAGACGACGTACGACATAACCGATGAGGCGGGCTCGATGCTACAAATTAGCTTTGACCTGAATGACCGCTTTACAGGCATTACTACGACTGGAGTGTGGCAGGTCCAAGGGTCGAATGCAGGCAGTTGTCATATCAGTTACGCAAGTCGAGGGCCACACGACCAGGGATGAGTTCGTAGTCTATTTTCCTCATGTCAATCCATGTCTTCAGCCGATCTTTCCGACGTCGGATGGGTCCAAGCAAGGTGATGTCCGCCAAAATGCCACCTTAAGGTCCGCCTGAGTGAGACGCGCAGATGACTGTTTATGCTCCAGAGCGACTTTGCAGAGCTGCGCTGCAGTCGCAGGCGATGAGGAAAATGGGGATTATGGTGCGTGGTGCAATCAGACCCTGCAGGCCAGCGATCATCTTCTGAGGTCAGGGGAGGCCCCACCTTCGCATAGGAGGACTGTCCTGACAGAAGTATCCGATACTCTGACTGAGCCCATGTTGATTTCCAAGGTTAGGCCGTAATCACATGGGGGCAGCTGGATTTCACGCTCATCCCGGCCGTTTGGAAAAACCGATAGCAAACGATAGATGTAATCAGAAGCTTAAAAGCTTCGCCATCGACCAAGAACGAACAGGCATACCCGACAGCAAAGGACAAAACATTAGTCAAAAGGCTGGAGGAGTTTCTAAGCTTGGTTCGGCTACATCTACAAGTATGCAGAACGTCTAGGATGTCGCCAGTGCGGTCTAAATACTTGGCGCCTGAGCCATGACCTATTCTGGCATTAACTTGCCACCGTAACAGACCTAGCTGTTGCCTATGACACACCACACGATTCCTCATAGTGCATGGCGTTCGACTGCAGTGGAACAGATAAGGCTAGCCCCAGCTCTTCTCTGGCAGCAAAAGGGGAATAAAGAGGGTGTAGGTACAGCTGAACGATTTTGACGGACTGCGCTGGGCCGAGTTTTAAGCTAACAACCTCCCAGTTGCTCGCAATAAGTGGCAGCGGCAATGAGTTAATAGGACGAGTGATAAAGGGCGTGCCTAAACGACTTCGGGTCGTTTCCTTGGATAGTTTCCCACATGCATGCAACTTTGTAGTACTGGGTGAGTTGCCTCATTTAAGGGGATGCTTGAATGCTTCATTAGGTTGAATCTCTAGAAACATTGTCAGCCCAAACAGCTGGATTGCAAAGTTCACTTTTCGTGGCGATTGAGATATAACTCTAAGCAGAAGGCGTATTACCGACAAAGACGAGGGAGACTGTCTCCCTTGTCTTTGTCGGTAAAACGCCTTCTGCCTGTATAATGTACCACTGTGCGGCTGCTGGTTGGGCTCGAGAGAGAGATCCCGTAAGGCACAACGGAACGAGTGAGTTCCGTAAGAACGATCGGTGAGCGTCCCCGACCATTATATAACTATAAACTTTGCGGGACATTAGGATTCTTCGTTCGAAGAGCGGCTGTGTGGGTGTTTTGGAGGGACAAGCCGACGCAAAACCTACCCCTCATAGATGGTGCGTTCCACCTCACGACCGGTTTTGTAGAAGTCCTGAACGTGAGACAAACCGTTGATGCAGTACTCCAGGTCTACAGGGCATAAAGTGATAATAAAAGCAACAGGGGGGACCACTTTTGATCCGATTTTGAAGTTGTTCGACTTCCTTGTTCAGCGGCTGTAGACCGGTATGGAATCGTTTTGCGGTTTCAATCATGGTGGACAGTTTCTCGTCTGACTGTTCGGACACTTCGACGAATTTGTCCCGAAGACTGAGAATATGATTCATCTGAGTGCGAATCTGCAAGATAAAAAGAGGAATGAGGGTGGGTCTAGTTGAAGGGCCAGGCTGTACAGAACTTCTTACTGGACGAAACTTGTCTGTAAACTGGAACCCTATAGATTCACTTGACCTCTGGACAGAACGTTGGGGCTTGAGGTGAGGTGCTATGTCTGTCGGACAGGTAATGTGCAAGAGTCATCAGATACAAAATAATTTCCGGTCATGTACACCTTACATGTATAAATTTCCCAAAATCATGTAAGTGCGATCTGGTGCCAAAAACCGCGAAAAGCTGACATAGTTCATTGTCGAAATCACTGACGGTCTGGATGAGAAAGCCTACGGTACTCTTGATGCATGCAAGATATACTGGGACTCAGCACGGCAGTGATCATGTCTGGTCTAACCGGCCTCGATTCGTATGTTTGGAGTAAATGGCAGAGGTCCTAAAAAACTAAACTTTAGTGACACAGGCCTGCATAAGAAGCAATTAAGTTTCGAGTACTTTACGGGTAGTATTTAGCATGCGAACTGCACAAGACAGAAGGTGAAACAGAAGTGTCAAAAGTATGGAGAAGTTGCAGAAATCAAAAAAGTCTCGATCGTGTTGCGTATTGGATCTCGAAGACCTAAACAGCTTGACCAACCCTCTCCCCCCGGCGACGATGACCGAATGCAGATTGTCCAAGAACCATGTCCAAGAAGCCATGTTTTTAGTTAATCTCTTCGAGTGAGTACAGACGCCGGATCGGGTGTAGTGAGACTGAGCTCGTGGAGCAAACAACGAACCACGCCTAAATCGACTTAGTTGTCTCTCTCGGATGGCCTGAAACATCCCCACAGTGTTGTCTCAGCGAGTACGGACAGTCTCACTAGAGACGACGGCTGTGTACTTCCTTCAAGAGATGTTATGCAGGCAGCGTTGGCCAAGCACATCAGCTCTCGTTTGTCTTCCAAAAACATAATCCGGCACTAACGACGGCAGAGGAAGGAATACCCAAACAGATGTTCAGTACATGCGGAGCTCTGTGGCGATGTCATGTCGGATGCAGCGGCATTTCCCAAGCAATGCGAAAAACACGGAAGCAATATCGATTCGAAGGGCGATGCCGTCCCTGCCCCGTTCATTTTCAACAACTTTATCTCGAGGTATTTAAAACTGTCCGGCTCCTCGAGTTGACGGCCACTAACTCCCAGAGGCGTCTTCTGGTCAAGTATGCAACTCGCGAGCACTTTGGTCCTCTGAGTGTTTATAGATCAAATAACTTATTATGCGACCTTATTTAACCGCTAAAACAGTCCGCGGATCATCATAATTTAGCGCTAGCAGGTAGACGTCGTCAGTGCAGCCAATTTCAGTCAACCGTCACTGGAGTGCAAACAAAACACACCGTAAAACCGCGTGGGACCCCTCTGTAGTCCAGTCAGTGGCGCAGTTTAACAGGGTGGACGACAGGAAAGAACCTTGTTAGACGTGAAACTGAATATCTAACGGCTGGTAGAGGTGCTCGCGGGCCAGGAGTCACGCAACGGTGGGGAGGTAGTGGACACTGATCGAGGCATAGCGCCTAGTTCAACTATCCGTCATAGAAACTCACGAAAAACGGAGTGGAAGGCTGCGGCGAAAACAGACGGGTCTCGGCTGCTGGCAAACATGGCCGAATTTAGGAATGTGCTGCTGTGTAAATATTTTATCGGAGTATTCACGACAAGTTCGGAAGACGGCTTGGTTGGATCTTGTCCTTGAGCCGCACATTGTGGAACTGCCCGAAAATGACAATGACCTCTGAGGCAGTTTGACGGAGACATATGCCGCGGCATTTCTGGCAGGTACAACAATGACTGAGCCTCAGTTGTAAGGACTGAGCTCACTTCCCCATGCCTGTCCAATCGTCTAACTAACCCCGGGAGCCAGTGTCAACAAACGCTGTCATCTCCGGGCGTATTGCATAGACGATTTCTGGGTTCGAAGTTGAGTCACATACCACTGAATTAGCTGGAGGGGGTAAAAATCCGCTGCAGAAGAGAGAGGGGACGATGGCTTGGTCACCCAAGATGAGATGCTGGAAGTGCCCACCTTGACCGAGTCGTCAGCAATAAAGTTGCTACTCAGCAAAACGTTTGAGTGTCGCCGACGTATGAGAATTGTCCCACGGATGCTATCACTCAACCACAAGCTTGTGCTGTCACCTCTAACTGATTTTGCTGTAATTTTACGGAGTTCGCGGAAGGAATCGTCGTTGTGGTATTTTTGCAACAGCAAGCCGTCTCCACATTCTGTGCTGAGAATTGACCTGATCAGAGATATCAGTCATGCAGGGAGCGTACAGGCGAGAACTGTTTCCACTGCCAGTGAGCCGCATTGCCCACAAACTCAACAGAGTGATGGAGTTGAGGCAAATAACGACTCGACTGCGAGCAATCAAGCAATTGTCGCACTGCGTACAATTGTCTGATAAATGCGGGAGCCAACAAGACGAATAGCCATGCAGAGACAGCAACTGCATCCTACAAATACCGCGACACCTATGCAACCCTTCCACCCTTACCTGGTTCTGTCTTTGATGAACATCGCTATAATATGACTTTGCACCCAAACTTGAATCCGAAACATCGGGCAAATAAAGACTCTTGTACCGGCGATTGCGTCTCCTTTTTCTTAACTGCTTTTGGAGACTGGTTTCCTCGTTTCTGTCGGTGTTTGTATATGACAGTTTGACCGCGGATGGGACGTTTGCCTTCAGGCTCGTAGGTCCTGTCAATTTTGACAACACACATCGATCTTCTGTCGTGGACGCAGCTGCGCGACTTCTAAACGACAAGTATGTACTCGACCTGACTAGCCGTATGACCGTCGTTTGAGTACCAGATCATTAGTTGTTTAGGGCGCTGTTGGAAGTCCGTGTAGGTGACGGTCAGTTCTGGTCAGCAAAGTTCAACGTTGCCTTGCCATTGTCGCACCGAAAACTAAACGCAAAGAGGCCAACACGGTTGTCACTTGAGGAGTCTTTGGGTCCAGTCCGGCTATTACAGTCCCTGGCAACAATCAATAGGCCATGACAAGGGCGTCTTTTGGCCCATTCTTGCAGCCGGCGTGCACACGGAAACAAGTGATACTTTCATAAAGTTATTCTTAAGTCGCACTCAATCCAGCCAGATATTGACCAGTTCCAATGCAAACAATGCATGAGTTACTGGGTGTGAGGGTGGTAACCAAACCGTATCTATTGCACCTTTCGCAAGACCCGGTGTGATGTATGGCAAAGTGCGAGGTGGCTCGCATGATCCTGAGTCGGGATTCGGACTTCGGGTAGGCAGCAGACAACCGCAATAAACTTAAGAAAACTGCAGATTTCGAGTACTGTAGTTCTGAACGGGGTCGGCAGGACGTGTAGCCATGGACGAGAGTCCTATGACAAAAGAGGCCGGGTTCCGATCTCAGGTTTCCGCAGCGTGGGCTTAAACTGTGACTGGCTGAGAACGACAAGAATCAGTCATTTCAGTCTCCCTTGTATTGCTGGTAATACTTTTAGATCCACAACTGTTTATCCCTATGCGGATACTGGCGTGGGCTACAGACTGGAGTTCCAAGGCCAAAAATGACGTCGAAATAAGTAATCGAATTCAAGCCCATGTGTCGAGGGGTAGTAAATGTTAGCATGGCGTCTTTTGGCCACGTAAAAATAGCAAGACGTGCAACCTTTCGTGTCTACAGGGCGCAAAACAAGATTGTGCCACGATTAGGTGCGGAAACGATCGGACAGATTTATAACAAAAATAAAGGAAGACGTAACTTCGATTAAATGACTTATTCAACAAGGGAATACCCACCTAGGAGAAAAATAAAACAGTAAAAAAATGACGTTACCTGATTAATTGACGTCATCTTTGTAGTGAAATTTTCCTCGTCAAAGCAGGCGTCAGTGGATTATAGGCAAACAGCGCTAAGAAATGGTCATGAAAGGTGCAATTAAAATAACGATCGGAAACACTTTATCATTTACATGTGGTTTACGGTTCACAAAACGTGCCTTTAGTGAGGCATGCCGAATGGACACAAGCAATTTTAACCCAAATTTTCTTCGTTTCGATTCTAAGGGTTTTTAGTGAAGCAAGTGACGTCTCTTCTATGAAAAGGGTGTGAGACAGACGTCCCCCGAAGAAACAGCAACATTAGCGGAGCAAACGCCGGTTTATAACATTACAGTGTAACCAGTTCGCTGGCAGCTCCCAAAAAGTGTTCCCACACGAAGATTTCCTAGCTTTTAAGCTGAAGCGCGGTCAGTACTCTTTTCGTCTGTGCTAGTCCACAATTATCTTATACCAAAACCTACATCAAGCACCTTTATGTTTTTTTCACATTCTCTTACTTCGTGATTACATGAACAAATACATTTGACCCAAACCGCCGCCGCTACGTCACGCATTAAATAACGTGGGCAGGAAGTTAGGTATGGCCTTGAGAAATTGGATCAAAAATATGGAACAATGAGGAGGCGGGGCACCATTAAAGGTGCACAGACGCTATTTGCGAAGGCGTTTCCAGTTGACATGCTCGAAACTACTGGCTCACCCTCCCCTATAGGTCGGTAAATTATCCTGATTATTATTGTGGCGGCCATGACAAAGACGGCAATTATGACGATAATGTTAATAAAAAGGACGAGAGGATGCGGGCGGAGTGTTGGTACCCCTGAACTTGGTCGATAATACTATATGCTTTCGGAAGCAAGTGTTGTCGACTATTTTTACAGTTAAAAACATACCCTCACCAACACAAGACCACTTTGGAGGAGGTCGACGATATTCCTGAACTAGTACCGTTGCAACATTTCCTCAAACAAAAATCTGGGGCACATGTTATGGTAATTTTTTCCTGCAGGGTTTACTTCGAGGTTTCGCACCTATACAACAGCCGCACAAAAGAACTGCTCTCGGTTACACAAGACAGACACTCGGCATCCTATATCGAACATGTCCTAAAGCCGATATTCAAGAACAATTCCGTTCGTCTTCCCTTGGTCCGCTTTCTTCAAATGAGGTATCGATAAAATATGAGCACGCTCTGAGCGAGCGTGGACAGGTTCGGGCTTGTAGTTGTCACTGCTCTAAAGCATACGATGTAATTTTTATAGGCACAATATACTAAAGCTAAAACGGTGGCATATATCTACAGCTGGGGAGCTCGGCGGAACACGCATCGCAGCAAAGCATCAAAATTTCAAATTACCAATTCATGAGCGACAGCTGAGATGAATAACAGAAAACTTGGGGATGTAATTGTTTTTTTTTACAAAATGCACATAAACTGATATAAGAATTTCCCGGCATTAGGCAACGGTTTCTGCAAGATGATTCATTCCTAAAAGTGGACAGACTGAAATCCCCAGACATTTGTAACACGATTTCTCAACTTTTAATCGTTTCAGAAATCAATGCGCCAACTTGGAGTAAACCCATCTGGGATCTGGGCTGTACGCTTGCAAATACCGCACAAGCATCTGACAAGTCTGCTGTAGACTTTATGAGGGATAACGCAGCCGAACGTGTCTGATATGCCCTTGGACGCACAAACGCTTCTCGGTGGAGCAAGTGCTCTGTCGCCAGTTGCAGCAATGGGAAGCGGTGAGTACGCTGACTAAGGGCTTTTAAAACAATTGAATAAGCGGTTGTGTGCCCTTTTCATGTATGTATTAGGTGATGAGGTAGTAGCTTTTTTGGCAATCGACAGTCTTCCTATTTACAAGAAGACTAAAATAGAGTTTTGACCACTTTAAACCGAATTATGCAGCCGTCTGTTAGTTATGTGTTTGCAGTAGGAATATATTGCAGCCAGGGCAAGCCGTCCGATGTGAAGTCGTTTTGCGGACCTCTAATTGACGAGTTATAAAATTTGGCTAGGTGTGGTCTGAGTGTCGAGTCAATCAACCAAACGCTGCAGTCCCGTCTCGCCGCCGTAGTCTGTGATGCGCCTGTTAGGGCATTCATTAAACAGATTAAGAATGATAGTGCATACTTCGATTGCGGAAGGTGTTTTGTAAGAGTGGAATACCTACACATGATGGTGTACAACAGTGCTACTGAGGGTACTAGGGTGGATTAGGATATCTTATCCGCCTCTGAGGACTGCCACCGAAATGGCGTTTTGCCTTTTTCTAGATTGCAACATAGGAACGGTTAGTTGTATTCCTCTCGACCCTCTTTATTTAATTTATTGAGGTGTAATGAGGAGGCTTCTGGACTTGCAGCTTCAAAGCCGGAAGAAAGTGCTCTTAAGTTGTCAACTGCAGTGGTAAATACGGCTAATGAACCGTTAAAATCGCTTAATAATTGCCTGTCGACGCAATTTTTGGAGCGCGCCAGGTTTTTTTAGTGATATAGACACATGACAGCACAATTATGATGTGAGGGAAACCGAGAACCGAATGACGTAGTCGTAGACAGGTGTAGCACCGAGTTAGGGTTGCAGTGCCTTAGCACATATACTAATAAGAGTGGAAAAGCAACTTTATATCCAGAACACAGGGGTTTGGGCATGCCTACCTAGAGATTAAGTCCTCAGACCTCGAACATAACACAGGAGCGGCCGTCAATTCCTATTCGACCGCTTATATTAATGCTCAGTAAAAGCCTCAGCAGAGCATATTCTTTATTGAAGTTGTTATCGCTATTTTTAACAAGGAATTTTTGAGACAATTTGATACAAGTTAAACAGTGTGTAGTTGAATATTCGAGATAAGGATCGACTTATATACATAAATTTGAAAATGATATAGACATAAATGTGTCATGATAGCCTCCAAAAGGGCTCCGTTTTCTGAATAGATTCGCGCAGTAAGCTGTGCTTTTCGTTTTTTGAAATCTAACTCACTGTTTTGTGCGTCGAACTGTTTGGTCCTACGTTTTCCTTGCAGGTATGCCTTAGTAGCAGACAAATTAACACCAGAGATGATTGCGCCTTTGCTTATATATCGATCTCAGGTCGAGCATATACAAAAACCTCCATTTGGCAAACACTCACATAAAACAAGTGCCGGAATTTGTAAACCACATCTCTGTGTCAATATAAAGGAATTACAATTGTTCTCATTACTGCTACGATTGCTGAATTAGATCAAAAACCGATCATTTTAACTAAAGATGAGATTACTCCGCAGGGTATATACAACACCAACCAGCGACCTAATGTATTGCAATTTTGAGCGCCTTGGATTCGCTTTGGAAAGTGAAGGAAATGGAAAGCAAACGGACACGTCTTTTTTGCTGGAATTTTGAACAACCCGATGAAGATCATCCGTAACAGGAATCCCATTCCTGTCATAAGGAATGATGAGGATTTGGAGATTTCGGACAGTACAAATAAAGTTGAACATTTTGTACGGTTTCCGTAAGGGAAGATCATATATAACGAACTTGCTATATACAATGCGAAGTTGGACAAGAGCACTGGACGCAAAACACACTTTTCGTGTGGTCTACATATATTTCCGGAAGGCGTTCGACAGTGTTCCGCACCAGCGTCCCCTGTACAAGTTGAGAATAATGGGCATCGGCGACATAAATCTCAACTGAATCGAAAATTTCCTCGCCGGCCGTTCCCAAATTGTATGCGTGGAACAACAGCAATCAAGGCGCACATTCATAGAGAGTGGAGTCCCACAAGGCTCGGTGATCGGACTTATCCTCTTTCTCTTGTTCATCGATGATTGTGTAGATGGTGTGGACTACGGTAGTGCCATGTTTGCAGATGACGTAAGAATCCGGTAAGTCATCCAGAATGCTACCGAAGAGACCAAATTCCAAGAAAAGTTTTGTCGATTGCACGAGTGGTCCCGCAAATGACTCTTGTCCTTCGATTTGAACAAATGTACCATACTGCGACTCGGAAATCAGACCCCTAGTACGCGCGAATTCCAGGTGAGCAGAAAACCTTTTCGAGAAGCAGAACGTAGAAAGATCTTGGAGTCTGGGTTGCAGACAGGCTACAGCTTTCTACACAATATTGCAAGGCGGCCAAGACTCCAACTTCAATGCTATAAGTCACCAAGTGGACATTCGCAGTTTTCGATGAAGACTGCCTCTCCAAAGTCTTTGGCACGTTTGTCAGACCGCATCTCGAATGCGCAATTCAGGCCTGGCGACCGTGAACGCAGCAGGATTACAATCTGCTCGAAGGGGTGCAGGGGCGATCGACAAATTCCTAAGAGGTCAAGGTGTACTGCCATACGAGATCCACCTAACTTACTTTAATCTCTGAGTTATAGGCAGCTTCGCGGTGACTTGATACAAGCTTTCCGTGTCGTGCGTGGCTTGGACTGCTCCCTTTGGTGCGACGACTTTTTCCAACTCGCCACTAAAACTAACCTCCGGGGACATTCCTTCAAGCTACGTATGCTCCAGGGTAGATTGAATGGGAAAAAGTATTTCGTCTCCAATTGTGTCGTGGAATCGTGGAATAACCTGCCCGATACGATTGTCATGTCTCAATCTGTGGAGACATTTAAATATCGGCTTGAAAGGCGTATGCTGCAGCAACAGGCGGACTATGTGACTTTTTAGCCATGAGACCAGTGACGTACGTGAATCAATGTCTTCACTCACTTAACGCTGTAGCTCCTTCACATTTTTGCTTATTTTATCGATTTTTTTATGCACGAAAATGGAGTTCACATGCGTACGTCTATTCCCCTCAAATACACTGGCCGACTGACTTGCATTTTGACGCTGAGAACATATTTTGTTTGCTCCCATTCGCAATACTGCCGAGAAGCTGCTTTCTTTGACACGTAAGAATGACAATACATTCAAAGTTGCCGGCGCGGTCGCTTGCCCATACCGACTTTGATCAGTCAGTCCGACGAATGCGCGCGATCAAACACGCGCTTG